CCCTACTGTTCTCTGGTTATTTTGGTGCTGGCTGCAGCAGTCAGGCTGCGGTTTCCTCTTGCCATGACGACTTCTAATTGCTATGTACAGTATGTTCAGAGTTAGGTGACTTCTCATTGTAAACAAATTGTGTAACTGCCTAGAGCAGCTCTTATAAATCAACCTAACATTTATAAGAAGAAAAAAAAAGTTAGACATAGAACTATCTGGTGTTGTTTGTGCATGCAGTAAGTGAAACTCTATCAGAAATATGTAACATGTGATCACTAGCTGGAACATAAATTAGATACAGCTAAATGTTTGTGCAGACTAAGCTAAAGGTCATGGCTGTGTACAAGGAAAGAGTATGCAAGTTCCTTGTTCCTAGAATACACTTTGCAAAAACCCAAGGGGCAGCCCTAGTATCTGGACCACAGCTGTTCAGTTGCAATCCTTCGGTTAAACTACCCCCACGTCAGAAACCTTCAGCTCAGTCACTCCAATAACCAAGATGTGGCAATAAGCAGTTACAGTGGTTAGTTTGCACAGAGTTAAGAACAGTTCTAAAAGAGGAGTTTCTAAAACGATTTTAGCAAAGGTACATCAGACAACAAGTAAGTTAACTACCATAATTCTCTTATTGTTTGTGAGATTGCTTTGCTTACATTAAAAGTACTCGTATAACTTTCACCACACTTCCCATTGTTTTAGCCTGTTGTTGTTAAGTGTCTTCAAGTCGATTCCGACCCATAGCGACCCTGTAGTTCCAAGAAACAGCCTTGAACAACAGACCTTGCAGTTCAAATGACTTTGCAATCTGACACATTAGCCCACAGCACCACACCAGGACTCCAAAGGGCATCTGCCTCCCCTCAGGGTATCGAACCCCGGTCTCCCGTGTGACAGGCGGGGATACTCACCACTATACTAAGGAGGATGGCTAGACCTGATTTAAACCACTTGCATCACCAGCACCAGCTGCCATGGAGTCAATCCCAGCTCATGGCTACCTAATGTGTGTCAGAGTAGAACTGTGCTCCCTGAAGCGGTCAGTAGTTGATTTTTCTAAAGTAGATCACCAAGCCTTTCTTCTGAGGTACTTCTCGTAAATTCTAACCACTTTTAGTTAGCAGCCAAGCAGGTGTACATCGCTCCAGGACTCCTAAACCATATAAACAGTTCTACTCTATCACCTGTAGCATAGTGGTCACGAATCGGGCTGTGAACCACAAGGTCAGCAGTTCAAAACTTCATGGACTGTTCTGCAGGAGAAAGATGAGGTTTTCTTCTCCTGTAAAGATTTATAGCCTCGGAAACCCTGTACAGGGTCGCTATAAGTCGGAACCGATTCCAGAGCACATAACCACTCTATCACCTGAGGCCCTGATGTGGCACTGAGGGTCAGTGTAGTGGACTGCAAGGTCAGTGGTTCAAGCTCACCAGCTGTTCTTCAGAAACCCTATACAGGATCATTATGAGTCAGAATTGACTCGATAGCACTTAACAACCACCACGACAACCCTATCACTTAAGAAATTAATAATCAGTTTAAGCTTTAAATATTTTAATGCATGCATTAACTTCATAAGCTATCTTAATAACAAGAAATAAAATTTTAAATTCTAAACTGAAATGTGACTTTGTTGTTGTTGTTGTTGTTAAGTGCCATCGAGTCGGGTCCGACCCATAGCGACCCTGTACAGGGTTTCCGAGGGTGTAAATCTTTACGGGAGTAGAAAGCCTCATCTTTCTCCCGCGGAGCGGCTGGTAGTTTCGAACTGCTGACCTTAAGGTTCGCAGCCCGATTCGTAACCACTACGCCAGTTTTGCCATTTACTCACATAGTTTTCAAATTACAGACACACAAAGAATTAGTGCTTTGTGAACTGGCAAGAATCCTGCAATATGCAGATGATACAACGTTACTTGCTGAAAACTTTGACTTAAATACTGACAAATACTGATGAAGATGAATATACTGATGAAGATCAAAGACTACAGCCTTAAGAATGGCTTGCACCTCAATGTAAAGAAAACAAAAATCCCCACCACTGGACCAATAAACAACATCCATATACATGGAGAAAAGATTGAAGTTGCCAAAGATTTCATTTTGCTTGGATCCACTACCAACATTCATGAACGCAGTAGTCAAGAAATCAGATGATATATTGCAGTAGGTAAATCTGCTGCTCAAGACCTCTTTAAAGAGTTCAAGAACAAAGATGTCAGTTTGAGGACGAAACTGCGCCTGGCCCATGCTCTTAACATGGTATTGCTAGTAGCCTCATACACTATGCATGTGAAAAATGGAGACTGAATAAATAAGACCGTACAATAATTGGTGCATTTGAGTTATTGTGTTGGAGAAGAATATTAAAGTACCATGGACTGTCAGAAGAACAAACATATTTGTGTAGGAAGAAGCCAGAATGGCGAGACTTCGTCTTTCATACTTTGGGCATGTTACCAGAAGTGACCAGTCTCTGGAGAAGGACATTATGCTTGATAAAGTGGAGTGTCAGCAAAAAAGAGAAAGATCGCCAAGGAGATACCGGCACAGCGGGAGCAGTAATGGGCTCAAGCACAACAATTGTGAGGATGATGTAGAACGTAGGCAGTGTTTCCTTCTGTTGTGTACCAGGTCGCTATGACAGCACCTGACAACAACACACTGGCAAGGAGTGAGGAGTCTAGAGTTTGACTCTCATTCCCCTGCTAACTGCCCCTGGGATCCTCAGTAAGTTAGACCCATTCCAAGCTAATTTCCTGCAGGGAAACATATCCTCATCGAACTCAGAGACTTCTAACTTATCTTTCAGCACTCTTTTCCCTGATTTTATAATTCATCATTTCTTTCCTAATAAATGTATCTATTGTTGTCAGGTGTTATCAAGCCCATTTCTGACTTATAGCAACCCCATGTGACAGAGTGGAGCTGCCCTGTATGGATTTCTAAGATGTCCTCTTTACAGATCAGATCACCAAGCGGTTCTCCTGTGGAGCAGCTGGGTGCGTTTTAACCACCAACCTTTTGTATAAGAGACAAATGCTTAACCACTGCACCACTTTGTAATGTCTCCTTAAATGTATTCATTTGTGGTTGTGCAGTGTCACCAAGTCAGTTCTGACTCATAGTGACCCTGTGTAGGGTTTTCTGAAGAGCAGCTGGTGTGTTTGAACTACTTAAAATATCTTAAAACTTGGTGTTAATAGTGCATCTTATTCAATAAGCATCAATCAAGTTGATGTGCATGATCGATTTTTTTATATGTTTCTTTACCTGTTGGGATCATTGCAAGGAATCCAGTTCACCTGAGGGTCTGGGATATCTTCCAAATATGGGTAGAGAGCGTCCCTGGTGAAGTGCCAACCATAAATACCATCTTCTGGAGTCACAATAATATGTGCACCCTGTTAGAATGAACTTTAATTAAAACATCTTCCAAATAATCAACCACCAACGAGAGGGCCTGAGAGGGTGTGGCCACAGTCCTTTGTTAGAGGACTAGCAGTCGCCCTCAATTACAACTAGTTCAGACTCCAACTGTGTCAGAGAACTCTGCTCCATAGAGTTTTTCAGTGATTGATTTTTGGAAGTAGCTTGCCAGGCCTTTATTCTGAGGTGCCTCTGGATGGGCCTGAAAATACCAATCTTTTAGTTAGCAAGTACTTAACCATTTGTGAGACCTAGGAATTCCCTTTAAAACAAGCTCAGCTTTTCTGTATCTCACTCATTCTTTAAATTTACCCTCAAGAAAAAAGATGAAATTTTTTCTGAGTCTGTCTGCCCTACCTTGCCTTAAGTTCCACCATTCAGGTTTGTTTTATTCTAGTCATATTTCTTTGTTCTCCCTATTTTTATCATTTATACTCACTCCTCAGTTACCAACATGGTTAGGTTCCAAAGCCAAGTCTTTATATGTAAATTGGCATTATTCAAAAATGGAGGATGACCACATCAAATTGAAAAATGAAAGACAACTTTGTGAGGAGGCTGCAAAATGTTCTGCAACAATTAAATGAAAAGATCATGGAATTTTTCCGTGGACTTTTTGAAGTCCCTTTATATCATTGCATAACTGCCCAAATTCATCATTACATAATTTCCAAACCACTGAGAATCAATGTTAGTCCTGCCTTATACCTCACCATTCATCACTGCCAGACATACGTCATTAATGTGCAAACCCAGTCAGATAGTAGACTGTTTACAACTATAAATATGAAATGTCGGAGTATACCATAGTCGATAAGTGTATTTTCATAAAACCACTTTGATTTTGTAATCCTGGTATTGTCATATAGGAAAAAGGTGCCCATTTCTGCTACCTCGAAAGACTTAAAGCCCTATATAGGGTCAACAACATCATATAGGGTTGCTATGAGTAGAAACTGACCCCATGGCACTTCACAACAACAATAGAATTGTCATTTTTGCATCACTTTTTCATAGACATTAATAGTTTGACAAGCCACTTACAGCTCAATTACACCATGCAGTTGTTAACAATAATTCTGTTGTTACTGTTAAACACCATTAAGTCCGTTCCAAGGAGCAACTGTTGGGTTTGAACCATGACCTTGAAATTAGCTCTCCAGTGCTTATCCTGTAGCACCACACCAAGAATCCACCACAAACCTGCTGTTATTAAGTGCTGTTGAGTGAGTTTTGACTCATAGTGACCCCCTATAGGGTTTCCAAGGAGTGGCTGGTGGGTTTTGAACCGCCAACCTTGTGGTTAGCAGTCCAGTGCTTATCCTTTAACTGCCACACCAAGGTTCCACAATAAACTTGATAAAATTGGTTATGTGCTATGGAGTCAGTTCCAAGTCATAGAGACCCTGTATAGGGTTTCTGAGACTGTAAATCTTTAGAGGAGCAGAAAGTCTCATCTTTCTCTCACAAAGTGGCTGGCAGATTCAAACTGCTGACCTTGCAGTTAGCAGCTCACTTCATAATCCACTACACTACTAGAGATTCTTACCGTAAACCTAGATGAATTCAATGTCAACCCTCTTCCTGAACTTTCACTAAACTTGAATTGATAGTGAATTACATCAAGTTCTCTGTTTTACTTCCACCTCTGTTCCAGCATGGTGTGGCACTGTAAAATAAGCACCTGACTTAAAATAAGCACTGCAACGTTGATGGTTCAAACCCACCAACTACTCCTTGGAAACCCTATCCACTTAACAACAACAACTGTTTCAGCTTTCCCTGCACCAAACCCTGTAACCAGGGTTCCTATTTCTTAAGAGAGGAGAGGTGGGTGGGGTCAAACATAAATTATCTGAAGTGTTCTGAACTTAGAGGTGCTCCCTGAGCTAACCTGGGTGGAACAAAGATTAAGCACTGGGATGCTAACTGTAAGGTTGGCCATTCAAGCTCACCAGCTGCTCCAGTTGTTGAAAAGACCTGGCAATCTGCTCCTATAAAGATCCCCCAGACTCAACCAAACAGAACCACTGCCATTGAGTTGATTTCAACTCATAGCAATCTATATAGGGTTTCTGAGACTAAAAGACAGCCTCGTCTTTGTCCTGCACTGCGACTGGTAGGTTTGCACTGACAACACTACAGTTAGCCCAAAGCCTAACGCACAATACTTCCAGGGCTCTTTCTGTAAAAATTACAGCCTTGGAAACTCTATGGGACAGTTCTACTCTGCCATATACGGTCTCGATCAATCGGAATCCACTATACAATGCACAATGACAACACTAATATATATCCAATTACTTTCATGACACATCACAAACTTTGACCATATCTGATATACATATCTTATTAAAGCTTTGATGTGTATAAGATGAACACTGAACTGCTAACCACAAGATCAGCAGTTCAAACCCATCAGCCATTCTATGGAAATCCAATACAGGACAGGGTCACTATGAGTTGGAACCAACTCAAACGCATTTAACAACATCTTACTTAAATCACATGCATTCAAACCACTCACTTTACACTTGTAGATCTGTACTCAACCTAAAGATATACTATACATTAACATCTATCTGTTTTATCTTACACTTCAATTGGTATGTCATACACATTGGTCACTTACTTATAATTTACTTTGCTCATAGTGCTGCTGTTAACTGCTGTTGTTTTGGCTCTGACTTATGGTGGTCCTTGGGAAATGAAAATGCCCTTGCTCCAATAATTTTGAAAGGAAAGTTGAGTCCCAATTATAACTGGGTACATTGACACATATGGCGCAGGGGGTGGAGGGAAGGAGCTCAAAAAGCTCATGGAAAAATCCCGTTGTCTTTTTATTCCATTTTTCCACAAACTTTTTGAAGTCCCCTTTTATATCATCCAAAAACATTGATGCGCCTACAGTGACCCTTTCCCTAAGACCTCACCCTTTCTCTACATAAGCCAGCACATTTTTGAGATGGTACCTGCATTGCTGCTGATGTGATGGCTCCTTCCAAAAGATCCAGATTTTGGTTCATTAGTGCCAATGCCTCTTCACGGGACACTGGGGTTAGACTGGTATTACCTAATACCACTGCATGCTCATACACAGCTGCAATAAATGTATCCATGGCGCTGACTTTTAAGATGCAGAAAACCGGAACTGCCACAAAAGCCAGCAACTGAGAAGCGATCATGCTGCAACTTATTGAAAAAACAGACTCGTGATCTATAGAAAGAGAGAGAATCCAACAATCACATCATTGATCCAACAATCAATGATTCTCAGACTTTAGTGCTTTACAATTAAATTACAAAAGTCAATTTGAAGAAAATCTATAGTTTCCTATCATTCTTAGGCACTAAATGACCCTCCGTTTTAGCAGAATCTGTGAGGACCAAGTGAGGAATTGTGTGTGTGGTAGCTGCCCAACACTTCTGACTCTTGCTAACCTCCCTCTGACCACTTGCTGACCTGTTTTACTCTTTCCATTCCCAGGAGGGTAAGGTACAAAATATTTCACAAGGGATGTAATTGCTATACAACAATTTATAAAAACGAGCTCTGAATAAAGTTTAAAACAGGAATGCATTACTACAAAGTGAAAACATTATTTCTTTGATCTTACTCTATGTGAAAAATCATTATCTATGATCTTCAGCGACATTCTGGTGGTGCTGTGCATTAATGCGCTGGACTGTAAAGTCAGTTTGAACCGTAAGGTCAGCGGTTCAAGCTCATCAGCCACTTCTCAGAAACCCTATACAGGGACGCTCGCTATGTGTTGGAACAAACTTGACGGCACTTAACAGCAACAACTATCTTCCATGCACTTGTGCTGAAAGCTCGGATCAAAATAAGATCCTGTTCCTACAATCAAGAAACATGCACTTTTGTCACTAAGGCAGACAAATTAAAGAGGAAACACAGGTTTACTGACAAATTTATTGTGTCCTGTAAAGTCCTAATTTCTGGAGCCAATCTGCCTTGGGTAGAATATTGGCTGTTCCACTTACCAGCTGGAACCTTGGAAATTTTTTCTTAACTACCCTCAACTTCAGTATCTTCATCTATAAAATGAAAATTATAAGAACATTTTCTTCATAAATTCCTGTGGTGTTTCAGAGAAACAGAAGGAAGACTGTTGGTGGTTTCCTAGAGTCTTCTCATCTCTTCCTCCTGAGAACAAAGACAGCATTTTCCAGCTCCTTTGTTCTAGGTTAGGATCATGTGACAGAATGCAAGCAGTTTCTGCCTCACTTGTCTTGCACATTTTCTCTTTTCTCCCTCCTGGAGCAAGCAACAACTTTGATCTTGCAGACCACAACCATGGGGGAGAATTTGTATAGTCAAAGCGTGAAAAGAACTCAGAATCCAAATGACCAGGTTACACTGACCTACTTCACCATGTGGTCTGCTTGCCTCAGGACAATGACAAGCAGAGAAATAAACTCATGTTCAAGTCATGTTATTCTAGATTTCTTTGCAATGACAACTTAGCCTTTACCAAAGTTAATGTACAAAATCTTCTGTAAAGGACTATGACAAAGTAATATGCAATAGTATCAGCTAGGATCGTCACTGGAGGTGAGAAGGCAAAATCATTGTTGACTGAAGAAATTCCACAGTGAAGAGATTTAAAGAGAGATTTAAAGGAAGGAAAGAATGCTGACAATCCTAAACCAGAAGAGCCCTTCATATGCAGGAAAAATAAACAATCAGGAAAGGAATAATGGCTCCAAAGCCCAGCATGTTCCGGGTGAATTAGGCCAGTATGGTTGAAAACCAATGAGGAAGGACAGAAACCCATCACAGACATTACCTTGGGACAATAGAGTTAAGGAATTTTATTTTCATTCAAGGAAAGTTTCTAAGAAAGCTTCTGAAATGAGTAAGGTTCACTGTAAATCTCCCAAATTCCTACTCTGAATCACACTACATGGGGGTCATGAAATCCCCAACATTTCTGAACAACAACACATAAACAGCTGAAAGAATATCTTCAGAGGGACCATTATAATCATTGCAATAGCATATTGTCACCTGAAACAAACTGTGCTACAACTGCTGATACAACAAACAAGAGTCAGCCGGCCAAAGCTTTCCTGCTCCTAGAGTGGAGAGACTGGGGAATTCCCTCTAATGACTGTAACTTGATTCTGGAGGGAAACCTTAACTGATACCTCCAAACTTCTCCAATCAAACCTGAGTGGATGAAGATTTCCTCCTGAGAGGGAAAATGGGACATCCCACAAGGCACACAGGAAATGTGCCATGAGGAAAGACAAGACCCACAATAGCTGGACTTTACTGACAGTAGAGATGACACAAACCCAGACAGTAGACCTCCCAAGTAAGCCAGCGGTAAGCCCTGCCTACACACAGAGAAACGAAAAGAAAGGGAAAGGAGGAACAAATAAGGACCGAGTGACCCATTACTGACTTAATGCACTTATCTATGTCTCCAGAACCTAGAACAGTGCCTGGTACACAAGGGGCCCAATAAACACAGTATTTAAGGGACTAGACTCATTTTTGACCCAAAATTACCACAAACTTACTGTTGAACCTTGGACAGGTTGCTTTCCTTGTCAGAGCTTCATGTGATCCAGCTAATCCAGTCAAACCAGTTGAATGAGGGATGACAACACACTTGCTAACTTCACAGGGTGGTTTTGAGGATGAGAAAGAAATCTAAAGAACCATGTGCACTCATGTGTGTATATATATATACACATCTACGTGAGGGTTGTTGTTAAGTGCTATTGTATCGGTTCTGACTCATAGGGTTTCTGAGAAGCAGCTGGTGGATTAACACCAGGAGTCTGAATGTGAGGGCTGTTGTTGTTGTTGTTATGTACCGTAGAGTCGGTTCTGACTTATAGTGACCATGCACAGAGTTTCTGAGGCTATAAATCTTTAGGGAAGCAGAATGCCTCATCTTTCTACTGCGGAACAGCTGGTAGTTTCGAACTGCTGACCCTGAAGTTAGTAGCCCGAGTCGTATAAAGATTAGAAATTTATCTGTGTTGCTACTAAACATATTTGCTTATAGATTTATATCTAATGACTAGAACACCTGGCCAATTTTCTGATTGACACTTTTCTGATTAATATAATCGTTAGTAATTTAAGAATGTATATTTTTTCCTATAAGATTTGCATCATCAGTATTCTCCAGAAAAAGCCGAAACAGAGAAACAGTAGCAAGAAGAGTTTTGGATCCCTGGTAGTGTACTGGCTAATGAGCTGGTCTGCTAACGGAAAGGCCAGGAGCTGGAACCCACCAGTCATTTCAGGGGAGAAAGATAAGGCTCTCTGCTCCTTAAACATTTGTTGTTGTCAGGTACCATTGAGTCGGAACCGACTCATAGCGACCCCATGCACAGCAGAATGAAACAATGTCCCATCCTGGGCCAACCTCACTAACGCTGCCATACTTGACGCCATCAATGATGCCACCTGGCTGATCCATCTCGTTGGGGGTCTTCCTCTTTTTCTCTGACCCTCCATCTTACCCAGCATGACATCCTTCTCCAGTGACTGTTCCCTCCTAACAATATGTCCAAAGTATGAGAGACGAAGCTTAGCCATCCTAGCCTCCAAGGAACACTATGGCTGCACCATTCTTCCAAAACAGATCTATTGGTTCTTTTGGCAGTCCATGGCACTTTTAGTATTCTCCTCCAACACCACAACTCAAAGGCATCAATTCTTCTACGATCTTCCTTATTCACTGTCCAGCTTTCGCATCCATATGAGGTTATTGAAAATATCATGGCTTGGGTCAGGAGCACCTTAGTCCTCAAGCTGACATCTCTGCTCTTCAACACTTTAAAAAGTTACTGTGCAGAAGATTTGCCCAATGCAATACGTCATCTGATATCTTGACTGCTGCTTCCCTGAGTGTTGACAGCTGATCCAAGAAGAATGAAGTCCTTGACAACTTCAATCTTTTCTCCATTGATAATAATGTTGTTTATTGGTTCAGTGGTGAGGATTTTCGTTTTCTTGACATTGAGATGCAATCCATGCCGAAGGCTGTGCTCTTTGATCTTCATAAGTAAATGTTTCAAGTCCTCTTCACTTTCAGCAAGCAAGGTTGTATCATCTGCATATCGCAGGTTGTTAATGAGTCTTCCTCCAATCCTGACGCCACATTTTTCTTCATAGAACCCAGCTTCTCATATTATTTGCTCAGCATACAGGTTAAATAAGCCTCGGAAATCTATACAGGGTTGCTGTGAGTCAGAACTAACTCCACAGCACACAACCACCACCACATATAGGTAACATATCAGGGTTCTGGTGTAGTGCTATAGGATGAGCACTGGATCACTAACCCACCAGTTACTCCTCAAAAACCCTGTACAGACAGGGTTGCTATGAGTTAGAAAGGCACTTAAGAACAATATCTGTATCACACACATATATACGATCTAGACATAGAAAGAGACACAGATTAAAAGCCCTCCGACTGTGGCAAGACCTGCATGCAGGTGTCCACCTGGCCCAGCAGGACACACAGACTAGTGGCCCTATTGTGGCATGTGTTTCCTGGTCCCATTCACCAAGAATCTGCAGAATCAGATTCAACTGGAGTTGCCCCTTCTCAAGGATGCAAAACATGGCATTCATTAATACGATTTTTACTGCAAAGCAAAAGTACATGTCAGAGAGAGAGAAGGGTCTGTTTCAGCTGAGGAATTGGGGAGCAAGGTTTAATAAACTCAGGGTTGCCCTTCTAAGGGGATCTTCTGCCCAGTGGTTTGGAAGGTCTTAGTGGGGTTCCTCAGCCCTTTTCTATGCACATGTTGAATGCCTAGTCGGGGGGTTTTAACGATATACAGATGGATACATTTCTTAATGATATTACAATAAGCAAGTGTAATACATTACAGGGGTGGGGACCTTCCTGCCAGGCCCCGCCAAGGAAAATACAGTTCCAGTCATCACATTGTCACTTTTGACTCATTTTTTGTTGTTATGTGCCATCGAGTCGGTACTGACCCATAGCGACCTTATGCACAACAGAATGAAACACTGCCTGATCCTGGGCCAGCCTCACTACTGTTGCCATGCTTGAGTCTATCGAAGCTTCCACTTGGCCAATCCATCTCGTTGGGGTTCTTCCTCTTTTTCTCTGACCCTCCACCTTACCAAACATGATATCCTTCTCCAGTGACTGCTCCCTCC